ATCATCAGCTGCTGATGTTGGAGAATAGCAGTTGACGATAGTGATGGCTTCCTGATGCAGAGGACGGAGTCAAAAAATAGCCAGACGAGGTGATGGGATCTCATGCGAATCGACAAGATGGACAACAGACGGATGTACGACAAATCCAACGCCTCCAACTTGGTACTTGACGCGCCCTGCAGCTTCGAGGAGGGCGTGAAGATCGGCGTTGGTGGAGACTGTCCTGGCGTTATAGATGCAGAGCATGAGAAAATCTCCATGGCAAGTCATTGACGTGTCTTTTGGTACAAAATCCATGGTGTCTTGTGCAACCTGACACTGGTCTTGATAACATCCGACGCCGTAGATTTGATCCAGTGTGCAAAGCTTCTTTTGCTCTTACATGCTGTACAGGCTGAGTAAAGGACGTCTCCTCAAACATTAGCAGTGCCTTGCCAGGGCCCTGCCAAGCTTTCAGCACAGGCAATCGCTGACCTTATGTGGATCAGGAGCCACCTAGCAACTGAATCGGCTGAACGGTTGTGCTTCTGGCATGGCCTAATCTTAGCTGGGCATCCGAGGAATCGGAAACGTCGAACTCTTGCTCAGCTTGGGAGCCTGCTGGAAGACAAACCTCCGCTACTTCGCAGTTCGACACCTAGAATTACCCCCGCGCCACGATGAGGCGGTAGATCATCATAACGATGTATTTCAAAGCAATAATTTGCCTGAAAAGTGGCCTATCGAGATAGCTGATGTGCTGATTACAAAAATCATGTCCATATCCTTCCTTCCCCATAGATCAGTGATTTTGTCCCATCGTACCACTCTTTGGAATCTGATATGTGTTCACCGCAGTCCTAAAATAAACCTATCGTGGGAAATACAAATGATTCTCATAATCAGCACATCCGACTATCTCACTACATAGCATTATCCAATTTTTAGGCCTCTTGCATTCCCAAAAAAACAAAATGTTGGTCGAGCTCTATTGACTGTTCAAATATTCAATTTCAATCATTTCAAATTTAGCAAAACCGAAATGCTGGCTAACCTAAATGTACCGCCTTGAAGGAGGTGACTTATCTTTTAGAAATGATATACTGCACTGCTAGGATTTCTATGAAAAATGTTGAGTCTAAGAAGAAGTGCAAACTTATCCGATTAAATCTAAGAAATTATTTGAGAAAGATCAATTTTAGAAAACGAATATTCATAAACGCATTATAATGTTGAAGGTTAGAAACTATGTGTGTTTCTATCAAATGAAGAAAAGACGACGCGAAAAAATTTGAATTAATTTGAAATTAAAAATAAAAGGTAGATCTCCATCGTTCACCCACAACGTGAACTACGTGATGTGTGGTCGTGTCACATTTGAAGCCTTTTACAATGTTATATAATTTACCAACACTATTTGCAAGTTTAGGCAAGGAAAACCGTGGCAAGTTTTCTAAATGACGAAGGTACATGGAGATAGTGCGGCTACGGAGGGCGGTATCGAAAAGCCAAAATAGGAGCGTTTAGATTAGTAGCTTAGCCTTGTTAATATTTCAAAAAATTTTCAATATTCATGTATTACTCTACTCAAAGTTGAATGAGTGATGGATCTGACAACTTTGCAACTCTCGAAAATCTCATCGAAACGAATTTGAATCGGTAAAGGGAAGGATACCTATTGAAGCGGCGATTTAGATGATTTCTGTTAAATCTTGGAACGTTGATTCTAAATCTGCTTTTCAAATCTGCAAAGCGTTTTTTTATGA